TGGGGCTCTTTCAGAGAGGTTTCCTCTCATTCTTCCCTCCCCTCAAGTTGTGGCTGGACACGCACTTTAATATATTTGCTGTCATCATAATACTAAAATGACATTTTCATTCTGATTCCAGACGGAGAGTCGGGTTACGGTTCCCCCGGTCGCAAATCGGCCCTTTCCATGAGCGAGAGTGCAGCTCTGCGGCGCATGAAAAGACGCGGCCGTCACACACCAATGAGTCCTAACCAAATCCTCTTAAAAGTAAGCACCATCCAAAACTTACAGAAGACCGACGAAATCAGGACCAACCTGGAGCACAACTCGAGGATCCGGGATGAATGGGGAGCTCCAGCGTCCAAAAATGAGTATGGAAATGTGGCCGCCCAAAATTCCTACTCCAAAGAAAGCCAGCCAGTCGACCTTTCAGCCATCCTTGAGTATCTGAAGTCTTCTGCTGCCCCAGTAGAGATGAGGAAAATCATGACCGCCTTCGAAATTAGAAAGCTGAACCTTAAAATGAACGAGTCCATACACGGGCCGGCCGTTCGGTCTACCATACCGGCCCCGGCCATCGTGCGGCCCCAGACCAGTTTCAGTTACAGGAAGAAACAACGAAGCTCCGCCTTGCAGAGAAGGTCGACCTCCGCCGTGGAAACCACCACAAAGCAAATCGGCCTGTATACGAGCTTGGAGTCCCTGCAGCCCACAAGGATGATCATGGGGCAACGTCAAGAAAGGGCCACCACGAAAAGGAGAGTGACCGAGCAGGTCGGGTCGGCGGACCCGTACAGGGAGAGGGCGGGGTTTCAGCTTCTCACCGTCAAGCAGCTGACGGAGTTTCATGCAAAAAAGATGCTCCAGCATAAAGAGGTGGAGGCGCTGACCCAAACAATGAAAACCAAGGAGAGCAAGAAGGCCTGGCTGATGAAAATCCAAGGGAAGAACATCGATGGCTTCACCAAAGAAGGGAAAATTGCTGCACCGGAATTCGGCCCGGATGTCTACCTTTGACCCGGGGGTATGCATATACATAATGTCAGGTCTAGGCGGTCGTGGGTATAAACTGAAATCAGGCTTACAGAGGACTGTTCTGTAAGCCATTGGATGGAACAGCAAGGTTCTTCTGAGGGCAAGATGGGTGACATACACTAGGATTCCATAGTGGCATGGAGTCTACAAAATTGCGAAGTTCACAAAAAGTGTGGAGAGGGGGCACAACCGAATTTGCATTTCTTTACCAATTTTTTAGCGCCATTTGCCGGTTCCCCCCTTGCATTTCATTGTTTGCCTCAACTGCCCTTCCAAAGGGGATCCCCCTGCTCGTGCAGTTCCTGGATTCTACCTGAACTTAGAGCTATTTTTTTTTTCTTATTTCACCTGCAGTGCTGCTGATTCACCGACTACTCTCATCGTCTTCCACTTCATACCTGATACCTTTGGCTCCTGACCTCGGCTTGTTCGCTGACTACGCTTCTGCCATCTCCTCCACCACTACCGTCTGCTTGTGTACCAAGCTCGGCCTGTTATACCACATATTTGCCTGCTGTTTCAGCTGCTGGACTCTGAGCCTGATCCCAGATCGTAACACTGGTACTGCAGCATGACCATACAACACAATGGTTCTCTAAGGCCCTGGTGCTCAGTATCTGGTCCTCTGCCCTCATGATCTGAATTGAGGTCTGGAGTTCAGCGAGGCGCACATACTGACTCTAATGCTACCGTAGGACCGCTAGATGTCAGTGATAGCTGGGAACTGAATCGATCAGCTGATTGTTTCGGTCCACACCTGCTCGCTTCCACGTAGGGGGAGAGAGGCCGCCCCCAGGACGAGCTGTGTCGGCCGCACGGCGCCCTTGTTGCCATGGCGCCCTGTGCGGCCACACTGCTCGCACACCCCTAAGGCCGGCCCTGCTTCCACGTCACCTTCAAGTTAGTCGGACCACTCCAACAACCAACCAGGCTTCCTCGATTGGTCCAAAACAATTCTTCTCCCCAGTCGTGGCGCTTCCTTTTTTTCTCGTACTATCAGGAAGCCGCACACCACTATCACCCCCTGCCCACACATATATATGTGTGTGTGTGTGTGTGTTGACACCCCCTTCAGAGCGCTGGAAATCTGGACTGCCCCTACAACTTTTCGCCTGTTTCGGTGAGAACTGTCACTGAGGTGGGATTTCCCGTGACTTCCTGTTGGGCCTCAGGAAAGGAAGTGAAGGGAAAATGTCCAAATTGGGACAGTGACACCAGTAAGATGTTCCACAGTGACACCTCCATTACATAACAACCACTTATGTTTCAACACAAAAATTATATGGAATACCGTTCTTAACTGTAAACACTTGAATGTAGTTCTATCATCGAAATTCCCCTTTGATTGCACTAATTATATTGGATTTATATAGATTATGGCCAGGGGCGTAACTAGAAATCACAGGGCCCCATAGCAATAAAAATTTTAGGGAATTTTTTTTTTTTCTTTTTTCAAATGTGCAAAATTTGAGTTCACCCGGGTAAAACGGAGAGAGCCTAAAAGCCCAACGCCCGGGCTAAACTTTTATTTTTTTAAACATTTTCCATGTGTGCTGAAAAAGAGCAGCTCAGGGTGCAATACCACAGTAACCTCAGCGTCAGCCAACCCGGAAGACTGAGGACGTCATGGCCACGACGTTGCTATTTGAGGAATTTTAGACAATATAAAAAAATTGGGTCCAAATAGCAACTTAAAAAATGTAAACAGTGCTGATTGGCTGGAAAGCTGGCTTCCTGGCCAATCAGGTCATTACTCGCCACCAGGCTTCCTGATTGACCAGGAAGCAGGTTTCCTGGCCAATCGCAATCAAGAAGGCCAAAAAACATGGAGCCGGCTTCCGTGGCAATCAGGAACCTGGGCGGGATGTCATTACCTGCTGCCTGGTTTCCTGATTACCAGGGAAGCCTGCTCTATGTCAGCGGAAGCACCGGTATTAGTATTCAGTGTCGGCGAGATCCGAAAGCAAAAAAACGGTACTCGTACTAGATATCGAAAAACCGTTATTGGTGCATCCTTAGTTTTGATTAAAACAATTTTTTGTATTGGGACAAGTAGATTGTCGTGAAGGACAAGTAGATTTGGCCCCCGCTTTAGCCCTTGGACAAGTAGTTTTTAAAAAAATGTCCACACCCCTGTGTATAATACATCACTTCCGCATTCTTGTGTCACTCTCCAGCTTCAGAAGCTGGAAAGAAGCTGATGGAGCAGATCTATGCTTAATCAGCTTCGTTTGGGGGGTCCTAGGTGACATTAGGGGTCTTGGAGACCACTGATGTCTCCATAAAGAGGACCTGTCACATATTTTGCTATCACATAGGGGGGTTTTTATTAGTCCCCGTATGTGATAGCAATAACGTTTAGTGAAAAAAAATGTAAGTTCCCCCCCAATTTAAAGTTACACCATAAAAAAGAATAAAAAAACAAAAATAAAATTTTGAAGTCCCCACCCATACATACACGCATGCAAACATGCGTCGGGGGCGCATACGTGCAAAAAAGACGATTGCGCCCATTACGCCGCACATGTTACATATCGCCGCAAACGTCGGAGTGAGAGCAATAAGTTTAGGGCCATCAATCACTGATAACGCTAAACTGATGAGCGGTAAAAGCTTTTAAAGCGTCGCCCATGGCCTAATTATAGTACAAAATAAAAACCCCTAGTGGTGTTTAAATACCACCAAAATAAAGCTCTATCTGTCCCCAAAAAATGGTATAAAATTCATTTCAGTACATCTCCATTTTGTTTGCTCTGAGGGTGGGAGGAGATCTATCGATGGGGCCCCGCCCGCCTTACCCGACATCGGGACTTATGCGCATTTTTTCCTACGCTTGGCCCCGCCCCCCGTGGGAGGGGATTTCCTGCCCTCGCTCACCTCCTATCGTCGGGTGCGCGTGCCGGGAGCGCGCGGAGATGATCGATAGTGATTGGGAAGGGGGCGACGGGAGGGAATGCTGGGATTTGTGATTTCCCTGTTGTACATCCTTATACTTGCACCGGAGGCTCTGCTGTGTCGGGGAATGCGGAGACTTTTAGTTCTTTGGGGATTTCGGATGTTTGTGAGGGAGTGCTGGGACTTGTAGTTCTCTGGTATGATCTGATCGCTGTCAGGGAAGGCTGGTACTGGCAGCGTCTTATAAGACAGGCTGGAATGAGTCAGGCCGTGTTAGCACTTGTAGTTCTCCAGAATATTAGGTTGAGTCAGGCCATGCTGGGACTTGTAGTGCTCTGGCATTGTGCGACTGCTTGTTTTACATTCTGAAACATGTAGTTCTGGGGTATCTTTTGATGGTTCTTAGGGAATGCTGGGACTTGTAGTTCTCTGGAATCTTCTGATGGCTCTCAGGGAATACTGGGATTTGTAGTTCTATGGAATCTTTTGATGGTCCCCACGGAATGCTGGGATTTGTAGTTCTCTGGAATCTTCTTCAGGGAAGACCGAGCCATGTTTTTGTGTGATCACATGTTCTCTGGATACACAGAGCCAGCTGTGTTTGATGTGATCACATGTTCTCAGCACCCACAGACCCAGCCGTGTTTGATGTGATCACATGTTCTCAGCACCCACAGACCCAGCAGTGTTTGCTGTGATCACATGTTCTCAGCACCCACAGACCCAGCCGTGTTTGATGTGATCACATGTTCTCAGCGCCCACAGACCCAGCCGTGTTTGATGTGATCACATGTTCTCAGGTTCCACACACCCAGCAGTCTTGGGTGTGATCACATGTTCCTGGGCCCTGGTTTGCCTTTGACCTATTCATGGGACCTGTATCAATCATGGGAGAAGCAACAATCACTGGGAGTAAACACGCGTCCCATACCGCCCTGTCCTAAATTCAAACCCTGCCTTCCAGATGTTAGCTCCCTGGTAGTCATAGTGATCCCGCTGCTTCATAAGGAGCCCGTTAGAGTTGAAATATGAGAGGCACCATTGCTGAAGCAAACGGAAGGTCAGAGGTCACCTGGCCCATCACCTGATTACCTACACTCTGCCCCATCTTCTGAGGTGAGGTCAGCAGGTACCAGTCCTCAGGGGCCCTCGGACACTCCGGCCTGTGCGCGGAGTTCAGTCAAAGTACCTAAAGGAGAATATTCACATTTCATAAGTAGACCCAGACATGTATAACAGCTGAATGTGCAGGTTCTGCCGTGCGCTCGTTGGTGACCGGTTCTCTTTAATGCTCCGATTTTGTAGGACAGTCTTGATGAGACGGAGGATGTCTCTCTCTTCGATGCAGATGAAGAAACCACCAGAAGACCGAAGAAAAAGAAAATCAAGTGAGTGTGTTAAACGCAAGAAAAAAAAAATGGTCATGTATTGCCGGTAACCAGTCCTTAGATGTGGTGACATTCAAGCTGCTTCCGGTGAGCCAGGGTGTCATGGGCCCGCCCCCCGGGGGGTTGTCCTCATCCCAGTCAGGGCTCACAGTACTGCTGCACAGAATGGGGCTCAGTCGTCGTTACGTGAGCATTGTTGTGCGCACACTGCCAGAGGGAAGGGGAGGACCCCACTAGTGTGACCAGTGAGCAGACTCCTGGCGGGGTGGGGGGGGGTGGCCCCAAATCAATTGCTGTATTTGCTGGATGCCAATTGTCGTTTTTGCAAACCTTGTCGCTCATGAAACTTTCTGCTCCGCAGGCACCCCATTGCGTCATTTTTCCACCTGTTCTTCCGCGTGAGCGCCATAGCCGTATATCTCCTGTGTGAGCTGGTGTCCTCTAGCTTCATTGCCTGCATGGTGACCATCATCCTGCTTCTGTCATGTGACTTCTGGGCGGTAAAGGTGAGTGAAGCAGCTTGAAGTTGAACCTGCAGCAAACCAGTCATGTCCTAGCTGGAGGGTGTCTGGTATCATCTAACTCTTTCCTCCCCTGAATGGCTGCCTTGACCTGCCCCTTTCTTTTATTAGAGGTCAGTTCTTTCACTCGGGGAGGGTCATCATCCTCACACGTGGGCGATACCTAGGGTGGTCTGCATGCAAATATAGCCTTACTTGGACACCAATCAAGGCTTTTTTAAAAACATTTGCATAACTCCTCCCAGGAGCCAGCCCACTGCTTTCCACAGACACTCTCCAGACTCTTGTGAAAGGCCTTCCCAGAAGAGCGGGGGGCAACTCCTCATCAATGCTTATGATTTTGGAATGGGATGCCCCACAAGCTCATCGATGAACCTGTGTCTTTATTCAACCTTAACAACTATATATCTATATAGGTGTGATGGTTTGGTGTCCACAGATTATTTGCCGTTCAGTGTGTCGAGTAAAGTTGTGATAGGTGTACCGATACTATTATCGGTTTCGATGCCGAGTATTGGGGTGAGTACTCGCCCAAATGCTCCGATGCCTAGCCTGATACTTCCGGTATCGGGAAGCCGGGCAGCACGTCATTACACGCTGCCCGGCTTCCTGATTGGCCGGGGAGCCGGCTCCATGCTCACTCGTCACTTGTGACGAGAGAGCATGGAGCCGGCTCCCCGGCCAATCAGGAAGCCGGGCAGCGTGTAATGACGCGCTGCACGGCTTCCGGATTGGTGGGAAGCTGGCCAATAGGGATGCCAAGCATCGTGTAATGAAGCGGCGCCCGGCTTTCTGACTGGTTCGGGAAGCCAGCTTCATGCTCCTTCCCATAACGAGGGGGCATGGAGCCGGCTTCCCGGCCAATCAGGAAGCTGGGCACCACGTCATTACACAGCGCCCGGCTTCCTGATTGGCCAGAAAGCCGGCTCCATGCTTTCTCGTCACCTAGCGACGAGAAGCATGTGGACGGCTTCCCTGCTAATCAGGAAGCCGGGTGGCGAGTCGCTACATGCTGCCTGGCTTCCTGAATTGGACTTCTGGTATTCGATATCGGCGAGTACCGAAAACAAAATATCGGTTCTTGTACTCGATACCGAAACACCTGTATCGCTGCATCCCTAATATAGATGCATACATCCCTATCCCTGATCACTCCCATAAAGAAATGTAGAGTGGGAAGTTGAACAGCATGATCGGTTTTGCAGGTACCTGACATAGTCCTTCAATCAGTCCTCTCTGTTCCCTCTTGTAGAACATCACAGGAAGACTGTTGGTGGGGCTGCGATGGTGGAACCAGGTGGACGATGACGGGAAGAGCCATTGGGTGTACGAGTCCAGGAAGGTAGGGCGGATTTGTTGGCTGCTTTATAGTGAGCAGTTGGAAAGACGCGACAGGTTGTACATCTGGATATCTCGATATACCTAATCCTCATTGTGTCCCTTCAAAGGCCGACCCGGGAAAGAAGAGTTCCTCTGAGGCGGAGTCCAGGATCTTCTGGCTGGGCCTGGTCACTTGTCCTATTATTTGGGTCATCTTTGTGTTCAGCACCCTCTTCTCATTCAACGTGAAATGGCTGGTGAGTAAAAGAGAAGCTGGCATCTCCAGATATCATAGCTAGGGGTTACAGCGACCCTGCCGTCATTCTTCAAGAATGAAATGATTGGCACCCAGTAAAAGAGAAAGTTCAATCCGTACTTCAGCCCACTGCACAGTTGTACCGCCTCCTCTCCTGGACTGAGATGACTTCCTCTGATGTCACTGCACACCGCGAGCTTCTCACAATGTGCATTGGAAGCTTTAAACCCAGATTCCCTCATGGCAATACCTTTTTAGTCATGTACTCCCCTGCTGTTTTACAGGCCGTTGTTATTTTGGGCGTCACGCTTCAAGGAGCAAATCTCTACGGATACATCAAGTGTAAAGTGGGCTCTCCAAAAAACCTAACCAGCATTGCCAGCAACTACCTGGGGGGCCAGTTCCTGAGACAGGTATGTGCCATGCCCTGGCCTTGTGCTTTCCTGTAAAATATACATATACACAGAACATCACGACAATACACATAGAGTACGACCTCCCTGCTCACCACATCTAACTAAAGAGGAACTCCAGACTGCAACAATCTTTATATTTTATACGTCTTTACTGTGCAGCTTTCCTCCCTTATTTTATCATCTGAAGGCTCTGCAGCTTTGCAGCACTGGGGGTCCTCTGTTCAAATGTTGGCACTATCTGCATGGAGTTTGCATGTTCTCCCTGTGGGTTTTCTCTGGGGACTGCTGCAGTTTTGTTATCTCTCTCCCTCTATCTCTCCTCTATCTCTCCTCTTCTCTATCTCTCCTCTTCTCTATCTCTCCTCTCTCTCTATCTCTCCTCTCTCTCTATCTCTATCTCTCTCTCTCTCTGCCCTGATCATTAATTGTGATTCAATTTCAGGGTTTGTTTGGTTTTTTTTATTATTTTTTGAAACATCTCTCTATCTCTCCTCTCTATCTCTCTCTCCATCTCTCCTCTCTCTCCATCTCTCCTCTCTCTCTATCTCTCCTCTCTCTCTATCTCTCCTCTCTCTCTCTCTCTCCTCTCTCTCTATCTCTCCTCTCTCTCCATCTCTCCTCTCTCTCTATCTCTCCTCTCTATCTCTCTATCTCTCCTCTCTATCTCTCTCTCCATCTCTCCTCTCTCTCCATCTCTCCTCTCTCTCTATCTCTCCTCTCTCTCTCTATCTCTCCTCTCTCTCTCTCTCTGCCCTGATCATTAATTGTGATTCAATTTCAGGGTTTGTTTGGTTTTTTTATTATTTTTTGAAACATTGTCGTTCTGCTTTTTCAGACGTTTTCCAGGAACCCCCAAGCCGAGTCTTAGCCCTCACTTGGAAAATGCACAAAGTACATTATATTTTTACTGCAGACGGGGACTATTTTTCTTTTTATCACTACGTAGTTGAATCTTTTTCATGGAAAATTGCCTTTTTTTTTTTAGCTGCATAATTTTGTCTGTTAGAGACTCGTGCACAATGGCAGCTCAGCCACGTCCTGAGGACTGGCGCCTTTCTTTATCCCGCCCGATGGAACCGTAAGGACATTTGACATCACCGGTTTGACGCTGACAAGATCACAATTCTGTTTTTTTTGTTTTTTTTTCATTCTAATCTTATAAAAATGTTTGCCATGACAAAAACTATAGTTCTGCAATGATTTGGTTGGTGGGTAACGAATGTAAATATCTATTTATAGAGAAGGAGTTTATGAAGTACAATGACATGTTTATGGGGAAAAAAAATTAAAATGTTCTTTACAAATGTTTGCCGGTTTTATGAGCTTCAACGTCTGATAATGGAACCGGACTGGATGGTTCTGAATGTTTTTAGAAGCTGACATCAGTGGGACAATTCGCCCAACCTTCGGTCTTTTATTTTTCTTAAAGGAGAACTATGGGGTTAAGTATTTTCCCCATAGTTCTCCTTAGGGTAACGGGAGGACACAAACTAGCGTCCTCCCGTCACCCTAGGCTTGGTATACCGCGAGCTATAGCTCGCGGTATGCTGAGGCGCTGAAGCGGATTCCGACAATTGTACCGGGATCCGCCCAGCTGCGTGACTGACAGCTGGCTCTGCCTATCTAGAGGCAGAGCCAGCTGTAACCTCCCCCGTCCGTTCTGCCAGTCAGCGCTGGCGGATCGGAGCGGGGAGGGGGGAATCCAGCCCCTCCCCTGTCACGGCAGAGAGCTGTGACAGGATCGAGAGGTGAGCGAACACCGGTATGTGTTCGCTCACCTCCCGATCTACTGAGCCGACCTGTGACAGTCTCATTGTCACAGGTCGGCTAGAACTATGAGGTGAGTGAAAAGCACTCAACTCATAGTTCTCCTTTTAATGAGATGTACTTGAGAGGGTTCATATTGCCCAATCGCTGGACCTTGTGAGGCAACGACCATTTTCGGCTTTAAATGGTGTCATCAGCACCATTTATAAAAGGCAACTGGACATCAGTCAGTGAGCTACTAATACTGTCCAGCAAACACTGCAGCCACCCTTAAAAAAAGCTCACTCTATATACAGTGACCCATTCATGAACAGAGGTCCTTGATGCCCAGACCAAATATTGAAGCATCAGTTAACAATAACTCTTTTACTAATTTGCCCCCTTAAATACAACTATCTGACTCCTGTCGTCCCTTTTAAGAGTTTGCAATAGCAGAGGCGTTACATGGGCTTCCTGATCATGTGATCACTGTGATTGGCTGTCACCGTGATCACGTGATCAGGAACCTGTCCTACCTGCCCTGATCATTGCCATCTCACCAAGAGCTGTCGGTAACAGTGCCAGGGCACACAATTGAGCACGCTTCCAGGACAAAACAGCGTTGTATGTGTGGCAGCGTGATATTAAGACCACCTCCGTGCTACCACAGAAGGCCGGCGGGAAGTGGTTAAAATAAAAAAGACCTATCTGATGCCATCTGTCAGTTGCATTAACACAGCAGGTGAATATCTTGCAATCTGCTAGAACTACAGCAGCCTTCCTGGTTCACCATAGGATGATCGGTGCTGAAAGTGTTTGTCTGGTTCCTCCCTGTAACATAGTTTTATTACTTTTCAATCATGCCGGTAGATCCCTTAATTCTCCACTTTCTTTAACTGGCTTAACTGTCCAGCAGCAATGATGTGCAGGGATTGGTGCAAACCCCATAACACTACCGCCCCCCCCCCCCTTAGTTACAGTGCAGCAAGTGAGTGTTGTCACCCTAGGACAGAAAATGTTTTAAAGGCAGGATCACTACGTTGAAATAAAAGGGGGAAAAAAACTAATTTAATGATTTAAAACTGATTTAATATATTTTTTTTTTTGCTTTTAGATATGGTTTAAAGAAAAAC